AAATTGATCATTAGATTTAGAGGACTGATTAGATTCATACTCAGTTTTTGGTCAAGAATACCATACGAGTGATGTGTTGTACTTTCTGTCACATCTTATGAAGAGATATGTAAGGTCTGATTGTCCTCTTTTTAGTGATGAAGATCACAGAGTAGGTTCAGATCATTCCATTCTGATCCTTCCATTATAGTACTCCTCATCCAATCTTTCACTTACGGTTTTAGTAGCTAATGATGATGATTATTTAGGTGATTATCTAATTATTAATTAGATAATGATGATAATTTAGATCCATTATGTCATTAGATGTTGCAAAATGGTGGTTTTCTAATTCCAGCGATTCTTTTGCAATTATTAGCTGTGATTCATCTATAAAAAAGAATTTTTCCTCCTGTATGGTTAGCCTAAAATATATTAATAGTTCATGCAAGAAAGACAGAATTCTTTCCCTTGAATCTTTAATATACTTAAATGTTTTATCATTTGAAGCTGTTAGACACATTTGCTTAATGCTAACACATTAAAACCTTTGAAGGTTGAGCAGAAATATGAAAAAGAATCAATGCTTGTGCATTTTAAATCAATGGGAAAATAGCATTTAATTTACTGATTATGAATAGTTACTGTAGTTTTTAAAAGTGTGCTTACTGGTACATCCATATCAGGAATCTGCAAGGATGTAGTCCAAAGAAAAATTCAGAAATAAACACACTGTGTATTTCTCTAGGAACCTTGACTTACTGGCAGGCAATTAAGATAAAAAGTCACTTGGACATATGGAACAAGGAGCTAAGAGAATTCTTAATCTATCTTTATTTGTAGCTATCAACTGATGCAGACCCCGTCAGAGCCTTTAACCTCAACATTTCTTCCTCAGCAGGACCTTGGCTCCCTGCCCTCAAATGGGTTTAAGGTACTTGGTTTTTACTTGTTTGGTGGGTGAATCATAAAAGGTGGGGAAAAAGTCCTTTGCTACAAGTGTATGTGTTTGTTTGAATGAATGGGTTGCTCTTGCAAAACTCTTGGATCAAGATTCAAAGGCAGACATCTAATGGTTCTCTTTCCCAGAGAACAATTAACCTTTGTAGGGCACTTCATCGTTTCTGGAGTTCATTTGGGCAGATCTGCATGGCAACCTTGTCAGAGAGATACTAGTATCTCTATTTTACAGATGAGAAAACTGGAACTCACAGAGCAAAAGTGACTTGTCTATTAGTTAAACAGTTAAAAAGTTAAAAGGTTTCTGTGGGAGTCAAACAAACTGTGCCTCACTGTCAACCTAGCCAGGTGGGGGCAAGGC